AAATTAGCAACGATAAACATTGACCAATCAATTATGATACAATGATAGCATACCAGAGAAGGAATCACCAAAAGCGATATAATTATTAAATATTTTGCGCGACTTTACAGAGGTAGAATTGATCCCGAAAAAATTCTTTGAAGCGAGAGAGGAGACGGATATTTGTTCTGATAGGATAGGTTTTTCTGACGAAGTAGGGTTTTGTTCTGATGAAATGGATTTTTGGTCTGATGAAGTGGGTTTTTGTTTTGATGTTGAAGGGTTATATAAAAATGATAGCGAACTGAGAATTGAGGAAAACATTTTTTATTTTTTATGATAGGTAAACAGTTTTTCTATAAATTTAGTTAGCAATAGCTTTTTGATTTTTTTCTCAACAAAAAAAAAAAAAAAGGCAAAATTTGTCCATTTTTATACAGTTTAGAACTTATAGTATTCGAAATTTAATAAGCTTTCACGCGTATTAGATGCATATTGTTTGTTAAATATGCATAAATTTTAATTCTCAGCATTTCGTCTTTCATAATTAATATTAAGTGAATTTATAAAATATCGTCATGCCATCCTTCGTTTTAAAAGCAAATATTATGTATGTCTTATAAGTTTTTTTTTTTTTTGGATGAACTTCAACCTATTTAAAATATTATTGTCTAAATATTAAAATAATGCTTCGCTAGTTAATAAAAATACAAGTCTATAGTTAATTTAACATCAATTTTATTTTTAATATCTTCATAATGATATTACACGTGAATAATTCAAATAGAGATTTGTCTTATCGTTATCGATTTTTGAGATTTACAGTACAGTAATACAAAATTTAAACATGAGTATATCCTTGCTGAGTAAAGTTCTTTTAACCAACTGAGTAAAATTATACCAAAAATGCTAAAAATTTTACTCAGTATAACATTTGTTGAATTAACTAAGTACTGTAAGATAATATTGTATTCAGTATGATATAATAATTTACTGAATAAAGTATTGATATTTCTTAAGTAATACTGAGAACTTGCAAGCTACGTAGTACTTTCTTTTAAAACTGCATGTAATGCCGAATATGTGACACATGTACGTATGTACATACACATATATATGTAACAGGAGGAAACGTCCAAATATAGATATGATTTTCATTCTCCGTTACACAGATCACTCATTGTACCGACCAGTCAAATATCACTACGGATTAGTCAACCAATCAAATTGCGAAATTTACAAAAAGACGAAACCGTGGGATTCAAGGGGATTCAAAAAATATGT